GCAATAAAGTGAAGCACAATAAAATGAGGTATGCCTGTACAGGCCAGCTGCAGCTGGAGTGGGAAGGATGAAAAGTCGGTTTCAAGTCATTTTTCTACTATTGCAATTCATTGGCTACCCAAGGGCTGAACTAGGTCACAGCAGCTGGAGTAGTTCCCTACAGTGCTGCTGTGCCAACTGAAAATTGGTGGAGCACAGTATAGGACCCCTGCTGGCAACCTATAGCCTGTGAAGCCATTGGATCTGGCCTCCAGAGCTGAAGCTTCACTCATACCATGCTGCACTGCGCCACAGCTGGGTGGCAGGGAGAAGCCCTGGAAGCAGCAACTGGGTCCTAACGTGAGTCCTTCTCAGACCTGAGCTGAGCCATTCTGGCCCTGGTTCCCAGCCACTGGGATAGGGAGTCTTGAACACAACCTATATATTTGGGTGAATTAAATGTGCATAATCCAGTAGCATTCTGCATTTACAAGTCCTTTCTTACCCTCAGCAAGAAGTTTAATCTGGATAAGGCCTCTAGAAATATATCGGCTCCTTTGTTGGAAAATTCATATCTCCCAGCAATGAAGAAAAATAAAGTCTTTTCAAGGTTGAAGTCAAGATGACTGAAAACAAACAAACAGATGAAGACAGTATACATCAAATGTGATCAGACAAAGCAGAAAGCAGTTCACAGACACGATTTCCCAAAAGGTCCCACGACAACCAGAAAGGCAAGGGTTTCTTTCAGAACTCTGTATTGAACTATATTTTGGGTAAATAGCATACATGTCAAACCCTTTGTTTGATCACACATGGTACTACACAGAGCCAGAACCAAAAGCTAGAATTCCTATTATGGCTCTCAGGTAATTACAAGAGTCAGTAGGTACCAGTCCCAGCCCCCTAGGAAGTACTTTGTACAGTCTACCTACTCTAGCTCTTGCCTCAACAGCCTTAAACAACCAAGTGCTCATTTTGAAAAGTAAAAGCATACCCATAGAAATGACCACGAATAAACTCTTGGATCCTAGCTTTGTACATGATGTGTAAGTTCTGAAACTCATGTGTCGCTGAAAATTTCTTAATGTTCAAACCATTTGGGGTGACAACATCTGGAAAAGCAAAACAAAGATAGAGGTAGACATCTTCAGTGTTTGCAAAACCTTTAAGGAAAGAACCAAAATTTTGTTAGGTGCCAATCTGTCAAGATTTATTTGGCATTATTATTAGTTATAGCAGTGAAACAGCATCCTCTGTCACCATAGAGAATAACAGCTGGTGAAATTCCCAAGTAACTCTGCTATGTTCAATAGAGTTATTCCAGATTTAAATGTATATAACCCAAGTTGGGTTAAATGTATATAACCCAACAACTGTTTGTTTCCACAGGGCAACTTATGGGAGGTACCTGTAGCCTCAGAGTTGCTTTACATCAATTTTAGCTGCAGAACTATAAGTAAATATGCTGCAAGTGTTGATGGTTTGCTCCTGAGACAACAAAATCATCCGGAATCATAACTGAGAATCTCTGAAAGTTATTATGCTCAACAAGCACTGTGGGTAAGTTCCACAATTTAGCCCTCTACTTGTATATTACATCCCTTTCTTCCAATCCTTTTGTCAGTTTTGTCTTTATAGATTGTGAGGTCCTCTTGGCCAGCACTGCTTTGTTATGTGTTTGAACATTGCTTAATACGATGGGCACCCATCCTGATAGAGGTCTCTTCTAGGATACAAAGAATAAAATGCACTTTTAAAAGTTCATTAAAAATACTATTTTAGATTTCTCCCCAAAATCTCCATACTTGTAAAGCACCTCTCCTCAGAGGGCTAAAAGTGTTTACAATTAAAACCAATGCAGTTGTTCAATGTTCATGTCAAACAGAGTTATGGCTATTTATAGTTCAGTCCCCGATCGGTGAAAGAAAGTAGGTGCTAGGTAATCATACTGGCACTGGGACTGATACCATTTCTTCACTTAATAAATGTTGTTAGATCTTTAATGGTCATAAGTACCCATGGGCATCTTCACACATGCTCCCGGGCTGGGGTAGAGGGGGAGGCTTTAATTAGAGCAGCTCCTATGGACCCAGAGGAGTGAATATAAGTGAAATACAGCAGATCACAAGCAATCATTGGTAAGCTAACAGCCTCTATGTCCAGTTCTGGGCTGCTCCTTATACCACTGCAAATGTTCACCTTTACTTAGAGCCATACCATTTCAACTCCATGCTTTCTGCCCCCTCCGACCCCCATCCCTCTGCCAGAACAGAATAGTGAATTTTATAATGAAAATGATTATACAACTTAAAGGGCAGTGGGGGCAGCAGGCACTGTTGTGATCCTCTCTACATAGCTGCATCGAATTACAAGGCTTGTTATCAAGTTTGCTACTTAAACTCAGCTGCATACGTATCCTGCTAGAAACCCGTGAGGCTAAGTCTGTGGATGCCAATTGTTCTGCTTTTTTTTCTTTTAAATTTGGTCTTTTCAAGTACATCAAAAGGCTGACACTCTACAGACTCTTGTGCCCTTGAATAGGCTTCAAGTTTAATGATCTACTGGAGGAATGTTGACCTTTTTCAGCAGACAGTGTCCATGTGGATTTCACAAATCTACTGATTACCAGGCAGTCATGTGTTGTTAATGTGAAGCTGAAATAGTACATAAGCCAGTGTGTTTACATCTAAGATTCAGTAAAGACTAAGAACTTCTGCCAATTTATATCAAACCGTAGGTATAGCAATATGCACGTTTGTACACCTATAGCTAAGAGTCTGCTGATATTTTGTGTAACTGCTTCTATTAAATTAATCTAACCCATTCAGTGTGAAACTTGGACATTTCAGCATTTCCAGTGCAGAGCAACCAAAATAACAAGTGCAAAGTCCTGCACTTGGAATGAAATAATTGCATACATAAATACAGACTGGGGAATATAATTGAATAGGCTGCAGAACTGCAGAGAAGGACCTGAGTTTTACAGTGGATACATAAAAGTTGAATGAGCCAACAGTGTGCTCTTGCGGCAAAAAAGCCAACAGTATCCTAGGTCAGGATTACCACTCGCAAATCAAGGGAAGTGATCCTTCTGCTTTATTCAGAACTGGTGAAGCCTCACTTGGAGAACTGTGCCCAGATAAGGCCCCACACTTCAAGAAGGATGTGGACAGTTTGGAAAGAGTCCAGTGCAGAGCAATCAAAATTATGACAAGATTTATAAGAAAAGCCTGAAAGTACTTGAGTTATTTGGCCTGGAGAAAAGAAGACTGAGGGGTCTTGGTCAAGACACTTGGCTGGGATGGTTTAGTAGAAGTCTGGGTAGAGTTGAACCTTATAGATTAACCAATGCTATGAAAGGATGTGCATAAAGCAGAGAATATTGGGATGGTTTAGTCAGGAATAATCCCTTTGACATCGCTTCCAGTCCTACCCTCCTATGTTTTTGAATTCCTGTAACTCAAAATTATAAGCCAGAATTTTTCAGGAATCATTAATGATTTTGGACAGTTCATTTATTCATTGCCCACCATAAGATGTTTTAAAGGGCAAATGTTCAGCACTTTCTGTCAACCACACCCCTTTATGGTGCTCCAGAGGCTCCTTAGCCTACACTAGCTATTTTGAAATCCTTGATCTTAGATTTATATTTAAAAATAAACTTCATCAATATTTTAGAAAGAATATTTTTTAGTGTGTTGCTGCTGTCATTACTGAAGAAAAGAACCAACAGGCAATGAAGAATGAATTACTCTCTTATCGCTAGGCATGGTCCACCCAGACATCTTTCAGCCTGAAGCAACTAGGCCAGGTGGTGTTGAGGAAAACTCCAAGTGCCAGTGCCTCTGCTGTACCTGTTTTATGGTTTAACTGGATTTCAGCTTCCAGGGCTATCATTTCCAAACCTTTCACTGCCCTACATTCACCTACAATAAAACTGTAAGAAGTTTTAAAAAGTGACTTTTCTGAGAGACAATGGTAGCAAACCAATTCCAGTTTGCTTATATTTGAAACAGTGATGTAAAGAATAGGAGTAAATAATTTGCTACATAATCTCAAACTATTTTTGCAATTTTTTTTTTTTTTTAGAGATATACCCCTCTATTTGTAGTACCTGGTACAGCTGTGCGAAGCTTTGCCAGCTGTTCTGTTTCAACTCGTTTCAAGCTCAAAACAGTAAATTCAAAACAAAATGAGGCTGTTTTGAAGCCCTCCAAAATGAAACGAGGGCAGTCAAAACATTTTGAAAGTTTTGAAACGTTCTAAGTTTTGAAGCTGAAGCTGGGCTTGCCTGCAGGAAAACAGAAAGTAAGTAGAGAGAGGGGGAAGACAGGGGAAGAGCAGGGAAGGACTGCTCTGATATTGACTGTGTAGCTGGCCAGTGACTGTAAACAGCGTAAAAAAGGCAGAATTGTTTGACCTGCCCTGCTTTCTGCCTTGGTGTCACTTACTGAGCTGTTTTACTCAGCAGCATCAGACAACAAAGGCTACCATTCATTTCCTACTTGCTACTGCTAGCCTAGTGAGAAGGATTTCAGAATATCTTTTTTTTTCCTGACACGCTTTTATTTTATTATTATATTCATTGATTTATTCTTTTCAATTTTATAATTATATTGGATAGGATTACAATATAGAATTTAATTTACATAGGAAGGGGAATACATTTATATTTTATTTCTATACATTTAAAGTTTGCAGCATATATCCATTATAAAGTTTATATAGGAAGAAAGATATATTTATATTTTTATATACACATTTATACTTTGCCCCACACACACATTATTGAATTTATATAGGAGGAAAGACATATTCTTCAGTCATTCATATCTGTGTTTATACATTTCTACTTGGTGCCACACTCACTCACATGGTTGAATTTATATAGGAACGCAAATAAATTTATATATTTGTAGAAAAACAAGACATGCAACACACCATTAAGCATGGTCGAAAGGCAGGCGGTGGCAAGCCTTTAGGGAGGGGCAGAAGACTGGGTAGAGGGAGAGCTGTACGTCCCTTCCCCCCCCCCCCCAAACTGAGACACAGATTCTTTCCTCCAGCTAGAAGGAATGAGGCTTCCACAAGCAGAAAGGAGAAGGGAGCAGTGCCACTGCCATTGCCTGTGCCTGGGACTGTATCCCCTCCAACAGCACCAGCCATAACCCCACCATCATGACAACAAGCACCAGCACCAGCTTGACAGTCTCTTCCACCCCCGTTTCATTTCCCATGCTGAGTCTTCCAGTCCCAGAGGAAAAGCTGGTGCTGGATCTGGATCTCAGTGCCGTAGCAAGGGAAATTCTGGGGAAGGAGGGGGAATCATCTGAGTTTGTGCTCCACACCCCTCAAGTTTCCCCTAGAACCAGGTCTCCTTCCCCAGAAGGCACTTCAGAGGAGGTTGATGTAGAGGTGGAGGCAAGCAGCTCAGCTGAATCCACTCCTCCTGTTGCTGTGCCTCTGCCTGCTGAGGAGAAGGAAAGTCCATACATGCACCCACACCCCAGAAGTGAGTGGGTAGTGTGGTCTGGGATCATTTTGATGATCCCATGTACGCTATCTACCTGCACTGCTGAGCCAGAAGCAGCCGGGGCAAGGGAACAAAACACATGAGCACCACAGGGACGTTGATGGATCTTTGCAGGCACCACCACCTACCCCTTGCTCCTCCTCAGTCTGGCACCACCAGGAGCATGCCTAAAGGGAAGTCCCCTTCTTGCTCCAAAGACCCTGTTCCCACAAACCAGAGGCAGGCCACCCTGGAACAGTGGGGAAAAGCAGAAAGAAAGTGGGGCACTTTGCAAGGGTGAGCAAGATCACCCAGAGCACTGGGGAAATGCTTGCTGTCAATGGCCAGCCCTTCTCCATAGTTGAGCGGCCAGGGTTCAGGCAGCTCATGGTGCTTGTGGCTGCATCCTACCAAGTGCCCACATGCACCACCTTCAGCAGGACGGTGGTGACCTCCCTGTAGGAGGCATGCAGGTAGTACCTGAGGGAGGAACTTCACAAGGCAGGTCTGCAGGTGGTCTACACTTCACCTCAGACCTCTGGAGCAGCCAGGGTGGAGATCACACCCACCTCTCCCTCACAGGGCACTGATATAACTAGT